ACTTCTGGATCATCTGCCAAGAACGTATATGAACAGGTCCCAGTCCGAGAAAAGGATGGAAGGATCCTGTTCATATGGACCTGTCGTCAGACAGAACACTAAATAAATAAATAAGTCCTCATATTTTAAGGGTTAAATGTTTATTTGGATGGTTTAAACTATACATAGTGGAATGTGAATGGTATCTGAAGTATGTACCAAATGAATTGTGATAAATACAACGATAAAGGACATCAAATCAAGGGAAAGCATTGTATAGGAACAATGAAGAGGAAATGTGTGAGAGACAAAGTTAATGAGCTTGAAGCAAAGTACAGCAGTATTAGCAATTTGTATAAAATAAACATGGTAAAGATAATCTTGCATAGATTCCAACAGTAGTCTGAACAGATGCAAAATTAATTAATCGAGTATTGAATGATATTAAGATGAATATACTATATGCACCATGAATGGAGGAAAAGAAATACAAAATGTTGGTACTGTTGTAAAGATATGAATTGGGTTGATTTGATCCATTATAGGGTGTAGTGATTAGCTGTTGTAATGGTGGTGATGAATCTTCTTGTGCTTCAGAATGAGTAGCTATGTGTGTATGTTGCAACTATATAGCTGTACCCCTTTCTTTTCAGATTCCTATGCTACTTGATCTGGAGTCACTTGAGTCTGTTAAAAAATTTGCTAAAGAAGTTCTCAAGGATTTTCCTAAAATTCATGTATTAATCAATAATGCAGGACTGTCTGTACCTGTCTCTCAGTGCAGGAAAACGAAAGATGGATATGAAATCCATTTTGGTGTTAATCATCTGGGTCATTTTCTGTTGACAAATCTTTTGCTTCCACGATTGAAAGAATCAGCACCAAGCAGGTAAATTTTAAGTAAGTGTTTCAGAGGGGTAACAGAGAACATAAGGGAGTTGTCATTGTATGTGAATTCTGCAATTGTGTCTCAGAAATAGACCATGACCACTGCTTTCTCACATTTCACAGATTTGTTCATTATTTTAATAACTATAATATTATGCATTTTTTCAGTGAAGGTGTGATACTTTTAAACTGTAGAAATGAACATGATTCTTTCTTTATACTTTTTCATTTGTCATAAATCCAAACACTGAAGAATATGCTGTGAGGCAGACATTCTTGTTACTTTAGTTATACCTTATTAAAACTGAACACTTACACTTGATCAGAGTGAGTAAAGTATTGTGGTCATAGAGTTGAAGAGCATGAAGGAATTTTGTATTTTCTAAGATCATAACATTTAAGCTGTTTGTAGAATTTTGCATCTTATTCAACATGTGGTTTTCAAGAAAATCTAGAGTCATGTAATTGGAACTATTGCAGTGTGCGTAATTTGTACTTTGTGTTTGTTATTGTTCATTAGACAGTCAAGCCTTGGTAACAGGAGGTAAGTTGTCCTTATGCCACTCCATGAAGATGTATTAGGGAATGTATTCCTGACCTTTGTGCTAAAGCTCAAGCTGTGTTAAAAACATATCAGCTTTGATAGGAAATTAGCCTGTTCCTTTTGGCTAAGAATGGCAACATTAAGAAAACAAAGGGAATACATTTTATGAACCAGGAGTGCCTTTTGGTAAACATTTTGTGAATGAGATTGCATTATATTACAAAATGGAAATGGCATATCAGGCATGTGTGGAATGTGGGAATTCTGCACAAAGGTCACAAAGCTGTTTAATTATTAATTTGTAAGTTTGCTGACCTCTTTATATGATTGACAGTTTTTAAAGGGAGCTGAATCTTAGGTTCTTCAGAGAAAGTCTTTTAAGGAAGTGTAATGCAGCACATGTTAAAACAATACCTAGTTCACATCTAGTTTTGTGGGAAGACTACAGTTGCTCGGCTTGTTTCGTGAGTTGAACTTGTGTTTATCATACATATTGTCAATACAGTCATTGTAAGAGGCTTCATTCTGTTTCTTGCTTTGATGAGATGCCATCCTCATTTATTTCCAGAATAGTTACTGTATCCTCTATGTTACATGAAAAAGGAGTGATAAATTTTGACAACTTGAATGGTGAAAAAGGATTTGGAGAAGCAACACGACGTATGAACCCAGCTTATTGTAACTCAAAACTAGCCAATATGCTATTTAATGTGGAGCTATCAAAGAGGATTAAAGGCAGTGGTGTGGATTGTCATGCTTTGTGTCCTGGATTTGTGTACACAAACCTTTTTAGGTACCATTACTCAAGTGTGAAGTGGTACCAATACATCTTATTCTCACCCATTGCATTGTTCTTCATGCGGACACCATCCCAGGTATGATTATTTATATTATTATTGTTAGCATTCAGGCTTTTGACTGTAGTGGTGATGGAATTATGAGGACCATACCAAATGTATGAGCATAGTTGTATTACATATATGAATACCATGTATAGTAGCACCTTCATCCTCTGCAGTATGAGTACAGGCACATTTTTGCTGCTAGTGTTGCTACAATCAACTGTGACAAAATTACTGTCTGTGGCACAGTGATTTGCTAGAGAGTAGTGATTGAATTCCTTGTGAAAGAGAACAAGTCAGCTGCAGACATCTTTGAGCAACTTTGTTGTGTGTACCTTGTCTGCATGCATGGGTGCCAGCAGAAGTTGGGTTTAAAACATGCTGTTGTTGACAAGTGGCACAACTGTGTGCAATGTGCTAAAATCTGACACGCTTATCAGAGAGAACCAAAACGTCTTGGTTTAGGACACCACACTATACAGGAGATCAGTAAGATTTATTTTTGTTAGGTTTCCTGCTTGCTTATGGATGAGCAGGGAATTATGTGCTTGGACTTGTCATAGTTGCTTAGACAGCACTCTGCTGAGTGTGATGACTTTCTGTTCAGCTAGTTCCAACATTTTGTCCCAGAAATGAAACAGTACAGGTTGAAATGACATCACACAGTATCTTCAAAAAAGGATGAGAAACTGCTCTTGCTGGGACTTTAACTCTGGACAATTTTTGGGAGTTTTGATCCTTCTGTATTCTCTTTGTGGTCTCAAGAAATAAGCATACCAAATTTGGTGCAAACCAATTTATTCATTCTTGAGCTATAGGTGAACTCACATGCATACGCATAGAACAAATTCAATTTTGTATATAGGATAGATGTAAACATTATCATTGTATATGAAACTTTTTATTATGTTTAAAGTTACAAACATGGCAGTCCCATGAACTGTTATGGTTATTTTAGACTATGTTAATTTGCTGGAACAGGAGGAAATGCTGTGAAAAGAGAATTGATTTTAAGATGTGTATTTATTAATTTGTGTTAACCCAATCTCTTTGTACTGAGGGAAACAAAGAAGAGTGAATAAGGGTCTGGACTGGATTCATGTGGCTCAGGTTAATGCCCAATGGTGGGTTCTTGTGAATACAATAATGAATCTCAGGCTCCATAAAGGAGATAAATAACTTTCACATAAGATTGTGCTCTGATACACTGTAGTTACTGTGGAGTAGAACTCAATACCAGAGGGAATTTTGGCACCTTACAGAAGTGAAGGCTGTTGTCCGGAGATAGGGACTAGCTCTATCGATTGGGCCCAAGAGAGTAGGTTTTTACCTGAAGATGGAGATGGATTCCAATATCCAAAATGTGTTTTATTAAACCTGGGACGATGGATAATATCCAGAAAGAAGTTTGCTTCAGCAACTTAACATCGTCGCATACCTTCAGAATTAAAGAAAACATTCATATTTAAATCTTCCTTATATAATCACAAATGAATATGAGGACACAAAATGCTAACGTGATTTAACTTGATCCTTTCAGGGAGCACAAACAACACTTCATTGTGCCACATCAGAAGAACTAGAAGGAAAATCAGGGTTTTTCTTTCGGAACTGTGATTTTTTTGAGCCCAAAATGGAATTTGACTCTTTAGTTGCCACTAGATTGTGGGAAGTTAGTGAAAATATGGTTGATTTGAATGATGACAAAAATGAAATGGGATAATGTGATATGGTTTGAATCCATCTGATTCAGTAGCAGACATACTCTTCAGGCTGTTAGTAAACATTTCATATAACACTCTTCTTACCCTCATGAAAATAGTGCTGTAGGCTCTGAAACCCACAAATTGTTTGGAATGAAAGTATATGTGTGAATATATCACAAGGCATAATTTTGTTTAGGAACTTTATTCATTTGACGGGTGTTTGCAGTGGTTTATTGATTCATGTAACATTTAATAACATAATATTTATTATGGTTTCATTCTGAATGTCAGATTGGTTAGAAACAATGTATTTGGAATGGATAAGCAAGGAAGGAGTTATACTGTTCCAAGGTACTTTGTAAATAAATTTTGTAAACTGGCATTTGTTGAGCGTGACAGATCAAATAGAGGTGTTTTTTTATAGCCTTATGTCAGGATAAAGGTTTAAATTAATCTACAATTAATGTAGCAGTAACTGATAGGTCTTTTATTGCTCTGAAATATAGAGCGTGCTTCCATTCACATCATCTCATGTGAAAAATATTTCTTAGGGTTTCTGTATTTTTATTTTTATTTGGTAACCACAAAATATTTTAAATCTTAATATTTTAAAGAGTTATTTGCAACAAATAAATTGCTGAGGTTTTTCTGCTGTGGGTTTTGTTTAAAGTATTTTGGAAAGGTACACTGCAAGTTAACATACTGTCTGTAGTATGATGTTTAACATGTTATAGTATGGTAATTAATTTCATTCTGAATTTGTAGTTTATTGTAGAACAACTGTTGTGAGAGATCACAACTTTGTTTAATGATATATGTATTTTGGAAATTATCCTTGTTTACATTTTTGCATCTTTCAGACTGTGCAACTGCACAAATCAAATATAATATTTAATGCAAATAGTGTTGGAGACACTGTACCAATAAAATGTGAAAGTTTATGGTAGGATGTTTGAGAGATTAAAGAAAATATGTGACCAAGCTTCGTGTAATGATTTTAACCCATTCAGGCATGTATTTTTTGCATAGAATCTGTACTGAGGATTTTTGAATTACGATCTCTGTGTATAAAAAGAAATTTAATTTTTCTGAGTGCTGACATGTAGGTACTGTATTTACATGTGGTTTTTATAAATCCCTCTATCAAATGCCAAATTATACCTAAAGCAGGTCACAACCACTTCCTTCCATATCCTTTCCAGTTCATTGTCATATAATTTTGACATTATACAGTATGAGCTTTTGACAGTAAATTTAATAAACCATCTATTAATAGTTAGGTGTAGTGCATGGAATACTGAGATTAAAGTTTTGGAACATAGCAGCTACCATATTTAGTAAACTATCATCACATTAATCATTACTGAAAATTAATTTTATCCAGTATATCTGCAAAAATAATATTTTATTTTAGGAGAGGCAAAAATCACTTTTCCAACATGTTATGCTGTTGATTAACCAGAATTTATCATGGAACAACTATTTTTGTATGAGAAAAGAATTTTTTGCCTCCTCAAATTGAATTTTTGCAGCTTTGAGGTTTTATCTTTGGTTATGTGCTGGAATAAGTGTTGATTTTAATGGTTCCATGTAAAATGTGACTGCAGACTTTTAAATCTGGTATATTTTCAAACAGTTGGTATTTTAACATGTTTTAGTTCAGAATTTAGCATTAATATCCCTTATGGTCTATGGGTTACGTTCATCTTCCTTCAGCAACAGACATCGGTCTTCTTTCAGAAACATTTTCCTTGAATGGACTACCTAGTTGTACATCAACAAAAACAATCATTTTGTGATTTTATTCATGTATGTGTTTAATAATTTTCTTTCTGATGCCCTAATTTATAGTCATTTTACCTTTCTGACCTCTTCTTACCTGGAAAGATTGAAGGAATCCACTTCTGAAATGATAGCACGTATAAAATAGGTTTCCATTGATTTTCTAAAATAATATGATAAGGATAATAGGAGGCATGAATTGTGGACCACAAGTGGTCCTGATATGTCAACAATGTCAATGAGTATGTAGCAAGTGATGGATGGGGAAGGATTCAGTAAAATCATCTGGTCTTGGCACAAAAATTCAGCTCCTTGCCCATAGATGACAAGCCCCCTGTTAGGTAAGTATGTGATAGCTTTGAAAATAGTCCCTCAACAGCTGTACACTTCTGCAAACATTAGTACAGTTGTTCTTAACATTTCTGGAAGCTACTGTGTGTGTGACTTGAAACACTCTTTGAATGCAGCAGGTTGTCTCAGTATATTTGGGTGGTAATCTGTTCTAATCTCAGTTGTGTCACTGTGTATCTTGACTGGTCTATTATAGATTTGGCCATTACCTCCAGGTGTGTTTCAGGATGTTGCTAGACATCCCACATCAGCATTCTGTGAATTTTGTTTTCTAACCTGGTTGTTTGAGATGTGGATGAGGTGTGTCATGCTGCAACTAAAATTATTTTGTCTTTCAGAGGACTGATAGGATAATTATTGGTAGATTGTTGTAAGAATGTACATAACTGCAGTTTTGTGTGATGTAATTCTAATTTGTCTTCATTTGTTTGTTTTATATTGTGGGATTGGTAATTCATAGTACAGTTCATAAAATTAATCTTTTCTCAGTCACAAAAGTCTTATATTGCTTTATTAGGAAAGTATCCTGTTTTGAAATCCAAAAGTGTGTAAGAAAATGACGATGTTGAGCGAATTGCAATAGAAACAGAAGACGAATCTACTACATACATTGGAATGAATCAGGGCCGTAGGCAATCATTTATCATTTTTCTTCCAGATACTTAGACATACATCTAAATAATAATAATTTTACATTTGTCATATGATTTTCAGCACTCGTAGCATCCACAAAGTGCTAGCAGGAAAACAGACTTTTAAGTTTGCAGCAATAAACATTGAAACAGTCTAGTCCTTGAAAGAAACAGGTTTACTGAGAATTTATATTAGATAGTAATCTTAAAGAAATCACTGGCAGCTTCTTTTCATCGGTTCAATGACTTTGCAGTCAAACTTGCATTTTGATCAACTTATTAAAATGTACACAATCTTGGCAAATATATATATATAGCTATATAAAAACAATTAGGCCCAGACACTCATCAGTATCACTCAGGACTAAGGCAGGCTTCACTCAACATCAAACATAACTAAAACAAATTTTCTGTTCGTTGACGCACACATCACACAGTCTTTTGGTATTCACCACTTAGTCCAGAATGAATACACTGCTGTGATGGTACATTAATTGTCTTATAGTATCATCACTGTCTACTTAAACAATAGGCATTTGTATAGTTGTTTATCTACAGTAGGCCTATTTAAAGTTTGTTACTGGGATGCGATAACTTAATGATGTTATTTTTACATCATTTAGGCCATCTATGTTGGGCATTGAGATCATTAAACCTGTACTATTCATTATTACAGGGAGAAAAGTATTTGTGCTATGAGTATATTCCTGTATTGAAAATAATGCTTAAATGTATGGGAGAAGATAATATGTGTAAAAAAATTAATTGCTGTACTTGAATTTCTGTGCCTTTACATCCCAGAGTTTGTATTCTCTTCCCACCCCATATGTCCTAAGGGAAACAAATATCAGTAACTTGGAACACATTACCATTTGTAAATATTTAAAAATCTTCTTATTAACCTTCCACAAGTTCATTGTCACCATTATCACTGCATAATATAGCACTCTTTGATTCAGTGCTGTGTGACCCTATTAAATAAAATACAGAGAGCCCCAGTAACAATGGAAATGCCTGAGTATAATTTCAACAATACAGATGCCAAACAATAACTGAACCAACACGGAACTGGCCCGGGCGGCAGCACAACAACATCGTATCTTAGTGGTTGGACATTAGCAGAAGGGACGGGTTTATACTACAGTCAACTTGGTAGCTGCCTGCCAACTACAATATAAAAATACCAACCATTAGTCAAGAACATGATGCAATGAAACTATCACACAGTGACACTGGACATTTTGAGAAGACAGGGCTGAACAAAACTCCTCCCTTACCTACAGCCCTGGTTTGAATTGACATGGAGTATAAAGTTAACTAAAGCCATTTGGCAACTAGATTAACAGACCATTCTAAAATGAACATCGATTTTGTAAACATTTTGTCCAAAAGCTGAGTCATTTAGGCCTGTATCATTTTGAATTTCTCACTTTTTTGTAACATCAAATATTGAATTTTTGGAACACAAGAAATTCCAAAAAGACAGATTTTTAAGCAAATACATTGAAAGTAGTTGTAATCACAGTTAAGAATTAATCATTTTATGACGAGGGAACGTTCAGCAGCAGTCGGAAGAAAGTAGAGCAGTGAAAGCCACTTAAGTTTACACATCAACAAAACTGGATGAGCATGCACACGTCGTTGGGTTTGCGTTGTTTGAGTCTTCTGTAGCAGTTCCCTTGCTGTGGCCACTCACTCTTTAGGGAAGGTATCTCCTGGTGAGAACACTGCACAATGTTCTGGGGCAAGTATTACAAGGACCTCTTCTAAGCCTTTGCTGTCCCAGTTGCAATGTGAGACCAGCTTCGGTAAGCCAGTTTTTAATTTGACTAGTCTGTTGTTCACCATCTTTCATGGAAAGAAAATGCGTGACCCAAAATTTGCATTGGTTGTCCATGTCATGCAACAAGGCTTCTCTTCACACCAGTGTTGAGTCTAAGTAATGTCTTTGGTATGTTACAGAACTTGCATATCATTCGTAACCTATGCACCATTTAAAACTGGAAGCTCTCGTGATTGTAGAATCCTGCTAATTGGTTAAATGTAACAAGTATCCTCATAAGGCTTCCGTCTCTTAACCACTACACACGCATTTATGAAAAGCTAAATTATGGGTATATACAGATGAGCTTTACATTGCTTCAACTTCTTTTAATCCTCCTAGTGTATTTACCCTGGAAGTTAAATTATCATATATGGCATGGTTACAGAGAACACCTGTAGGGGAGAAGTAGCCCAGCAATTATTATACATGTGTGGCAAGAGTTCCTCGTTTCATAGTTGTCGGCTGTGACGCGGGCACAATGTATTGTGATGTGGGAGAATTGGGTAACCTGGCCACCTGTGGGACGGCCCCATTCCTGGTTGCTGCAGAGTATGGTGGAGGTGCAGGTGTGCCAATGGCATGTGTCGGAGCTGGTGGCAGTGATGTGTTGGAATTTCGCAGGTATGGGTTTCCATACACCGCAGAATAACGTGGGTCTATGCTTGGCACCCCTGTTACACTTGCCACACCAGTCACAGCTGACAGTGATTCTCGGCTGCTTTCGATTGGCGGCGGCGGTGGCGGCGGGTTGTAATCTCGCGTATAGTCCACGTAGGGCACATAACCATTATTGTTTTGACCATCCTGTAAACAAGAATGAGATTTTTAAGTACGGTATATTTTGATTTGAGGTGCCCTAAAGTGAACTATGAGAGACTTGGAAACATGGTGTTGACATCTGTTACTTACTTTAGGAGGAAAGACAGGATCTGTGAACTCTGCTGAGTAGCGATATATGTGTTCTCCACCATTGACTGGCATAGCCACAGGACCTGCAAGGGGTACTCCAACTCTCGTAATAACGCTTTCACTTCCAGTCTCTGAATCAGGCCCATACTCAAGCTCACAGTGGACGTTGCTTACAGAAGAGCCAGTCCGTAGCTCCATCTTCAAGTCTGAGATGTTGGAGGACCTGTCTGATTCTTTGCATTGCTTCTCTGCTTCTCTACAGTCTGTGAAAGTCAAGTCTACTCAGAATGGCTTTTGATACGTTGAATTATTCTTCTTAATTTATTTGTTGCTGGAATTTTGCATCGCATGCAAAAGTTTCAGAATTATACTCTCATTTTAACAGTTAATAAAAAAAAGCTTTATATATCAAGGTATTGGTATAGTTTGTTAATATGAATTATATGGATATAAATTGTAATTTTATGTTAATGTTTTTAAGCCAATGCACGTTACACTCGGGACAAATATTCATTGTTCACTTTTCCTTGTTCCTGTGCTGATTAAGGTACGAATAAGAGCTGGGTTATTTTAGTATAGTGTCTGACTGCAGACTGGATGACCAAGATATATTGGACTGAATTTTATTATTAATAAAATAAACTTCCTTACCTTCTGGCTTCTTTTCTCTCCTCTGGCAGAGAATTATCACCATGGCGATAGCTATGATTACTATTACTCCGCCAATAACACCTGTTAGGATCATGAGCAGAGGAAAATTTTCTGTAAAGAAAGGGGTCAGTCACTTATTCCAGAACATTATGCATCTTCCATAACAAACATTTTATACAAATATTGCAGCAGTTTTATTTTATAATTACTGCATTTGAATGACGAGTCTGACATCAGAATTGAAGGGGAAGTTACGTCTTGCTCTGGTCCAGAACACTTCTGATATCGGTAATTCCTTATAATTGTTTCTAGTGGAATACTGTCAACATGTTCAAGTTCTGTTTTGTGGAGAGTCTTAGTGTAGATATAATGATGTTCACTTCAAACTCTCTTTGGAGGAGTTAATGAAGAAACTTTGGTTCATGTACGATATTACTGAAAACTGACAGAGACTGGATTCATCTTGCCATAGCAAGAAAGACGGCCATTCAGTAATGTTAAAAATTCCTTGGCCACTTTCAAGGTCCAATTTAAATTTATTGTAGTAATGTAATTGTGGTAATTTTGTCATTAAATTATTATTTCAAACAGGGAGATAGGTTGATAAAATAAAATAACTGTTTCTACGTTACTTATCGATAGACAAATAATCTAGAAATATACATAAATAATTTGATCGGGCCTTATTTCTGTATGTTCCATTGTGAGATTGTTGTTCCATCTATGTCTATTTAGGTCTTGGAAGTGGTGTATTTCTTTCAGGATTTCCAACAAAACTGTTGCAAGGATTTGTCATTTTTCTGCATGTTACATGCTCCATCATCTGCAAATATTTTAAATATCTTACAGTGGTTCTGAAGAATTTTTTTTTTTTTGGGGGGGGGGGAGGAGTGTTTTTTGTTATCGCACAAATAGCATTATAAGATGTGGGTCATAGCCTGCATGTCTGTTCTCCATTACTACTGTAGTTAATGACAGTGTAATTTTATATTGGGTGTTTGCAGTAAAAGTTGGGAAAATGTAATTTTTGTTTGTATCAATCCAGTATAACCTGCAATTTACATGAAGCTGTCATCAGACTCCACTGATTTTCTTAAAAATGTATCTTAAAAAAATAGTTATTAACTAATTTCATGGAGCAGAGTACTTAAGAGGCTAATAGTGCACTCAGCCAGGTAAGACATTTGCTGCTTTTTATGGAATCAGACAGGCTGGAGACTGGTGGTGGACTCAGTGTGAATTATGGATATGATAAACCACACCTACCATTCCATTCTAATCTCTGGTTACCGTGGTTTTATTTCGAATAATCGCTATTTGTCAGAGGAAATAGAAACAGGAAATATTGCGTCTTATGAAAGTGTTTAAACAACGTTTCCCTTGACCAATCTTCCAGTTTCGCGAGTTGTAGTAAATGTGAGAGAATGTTGCTTTCAAATTCGTCGCAGTGTTGGTAATGTCCAGAGGACTGCAATAACGCTTACTCTGAGGCTTTAGGTTGATCTCGACAACGTCGCTGCCATACGGGTTCGTGACAGAACAGTTGTAGGCTCCGAAATGTTGGTGCTGTGACTCTCGAATAACCAGCGTGCTCTTGATTCCCTCGGGCAAGGGGTCCTCTAGGATGGTGTAGTCCTTGTCGTCGGCGTCCACCTCGTTGCCCTTGTACGTCCACATGACGTGCTCCGGCTTGGGAATGGAGAACGCCACGCATTCTAGGCGTACGTTGTCCCCCTGGATACCAAATTGCGTCCTGTGACTGATGATAGTTGGTGGTCCCTTCAGGTAAATTGATGCTTCAGCCCCTACCTCGGGGAATCCCATTACGCTAGCTTTGCAGTAGTACCGCCCGGCAGTGTCTGCGTCCACATCCAGGGTCAAGTTTGCAGATGTACCGACCACCTGCAACCGGACAGAATAGTGAGATGAGAACCACTAGGCAATGGCGAACATACCCGTGTTTGATGTAGGCTATACTTTGTCTTCATTCTAGCGTTGGTAGAAGACTACGAAAGAAAACCCCTTTTGATAAAGTGTTTGAGAGCAGCATGAAAATAAATTACAGAGAAGAACTGAAAAGGAAACTTAATATGAAACATACAGATAATACAGAACAGATACAATAATAATCACAAACATCTCAAGAACAGATTAGAAAGGTGCCAAAGGGTCTGAACAAAACAATGTTACAAGTTAAATAATTATTCCTTGAAGAGAGTGAAAAATGTCTTTAGTCAACATGCTGTTACTTCCTCTTGTGTCCAGATATTTTTCTCGCGACTCTTTATCAAGCCAAGTTTCACACTCACACAAAACAACAGTTAAAGTTATATAATTCGATATTTACGTTTGTGGATCGGAGACGGGAAGAAAAGCTGTTGTAATTATTCGTTTACGCGTTCAAGACGTGTAATTTTTTATTCTCAGATGATTTTTAAATTTATCTCGTTGCATTTGTACAAATACGAAATTGTTTTATTGTGCAAATAAGCTTACTTGTATACGTTTTGAAAGTAATTTATGTACAGTGGTAATTGGGTGTACTGAGAATATTTTTCGCCTTTATCTTGCATTTAAACATAAGAACGACTACGTATTACCATGCTTCGAATTCTGGTCCCGTTTAAGTGCCGTAAAAAGGGGTAAAGTGGATAACCGTTTCACTTTTTCTTATTTTTAAACACGTACACTAATTTCACGCCAGCAAGGCTGAAAAATTCTCTTAGAATCTCTATGGCTCATTTTACATACGTTCGTTCTGCTTTTACAGATACGAAACGGAGTCATTACATATGGCATAATGCAAATTTATGAGTATGTTTTGAACATAATTTCTGTACTGTGATGAACTGGGTGTGTGTATATACACTCTCATATACAGGTTGTCTTAAAAATATGTATACACACAAAGTTAATATTCCATATTATGATGTGTTTACATCTTTTTGGGACACTCTGTACGTCTTACATGATTTTGTCTGACTCTCTGCACATTTGAAAAGTTACTGATGGGTGTGAAGCAGCTGGAAATTTAATTTGGGGGTCATTTATCGCACGGTTTCCTTGGATTTGAAACGGGGCAGTCTTTTCAAAATTAAGAAAACTAACTTACATGTAATTCATTCGTTTAGCTTCTGAGGTGCTATACAGGAATCTTATTGCAGTGATTAAATGTCAGGCGTTGCTTACAGAGTTCCTGAAACGTCTCCGCAGAGACGGAACTAACGCACGTAACCAGAAACATATAAAAAGTTGTAACTGAACAGTGGTGACAATTTACACTCTTGTACGACTGGAAGGGGTGAAGCATTCTTGTCGTCGCCACTGGGGTTTTAGGGCTGGCTAATCTCATACCATGCCAACAGGGACTTCTTTTCAATAAATTCTTTGTAAATGGGAAAATAGAATCGGTAACATATGATTGGAAACAGGAAGGGCGGAGTGGATTTGTAGTTACAAAAAAAAATTATGTACTAAGAGAATATCGCTATTAGAGACAGTTACGTTGGAGCTGTTGACCGCAAACACCTAGAGTTAGGCGGCCACATTCTTCTGCATAGATAACTCAGCTTAATAAATGATTGATTGATTGGCCTCATGGCCCCATATACGCTTTCATGACGTGGTACTTTGGTTCAGCGAGATATTTGCCTAAAATTACGTATTTCGATATATTTGGCCATTAAGGGCATTTATTAATCCCAAGTTGAGAGTTCTTGTATAGTTATTTGTTATCTAAACGGTTCCTTGGAGCAGAGTTCTTATTGACGAGCTGATAGTGGTTCAGGTGGTAAAAAATTCGCTGCATTTTATGAAGTCCAGTCTGAACCCTCGCTTCCTATTTCTTTAAGATTCATTTTAATAGTATCCTCCCATCTGCGCCGTGGTCTCTTCAGAAGTCTTTTCCTTGCAGGTTTTCCGACTAAACTTCTGAATGTATTTCTCATCTCTCTTATGCGTGCTGCAGTGCTATTCCCTTAGTTATTCAAGAGTCTGCAGTTAGCGTGCCCAGAAATGCTTTTTTAATCGATCATCATAATTTCTTGTTACTTCCAGGAACTCGTTCACTGTTTCCATTTACGGGGTCAACTGAAATTCATCTCCGATGCTGGTCGGGGGGAGGGGGTGACCAAACACTGGTTCTGCTGGGGCAGGAGGCGTATGTCACAGGTACTCTCACATATAATGGAAGAGTGGGTCGTGGAATGGAGGGAGGTAAAATGAGAGGGGATTTGGTGTTTACAGAAACGTTAACCTGTGGATTTCATGAATGTGAATTTACATTGCTATCTGAAGTAGAGATTTAATGGGACACGATGTACATAAAACTCAATGGTTTTTAAATGTACGTACGTATTTATAAACGCAGCTGTAACTCGGTCATGCATTCTAACCGACTTTACATAAAGAAAAGTACAGTTGTGGCCAATGTTATCATGTAGTGAGATTTCAGGTTCTCGCGGCGGCGTGTATGAAGAGGACAGTCTTCTGGGATGTGCCGTGTAATCTGGCAGAAGTATACCGACGTCTCAGAGGGCGATTGCCCTGATGATGGAGGCAGCAAGAACCTCTGAAACGTTGGTGTACTGCTACCAGACTATATTGCACAACAATCCAGAAGACAGCCTTCAGCACTACATGCACCTTAACGTACGACCAAGGTATTAAGACCAGAGGTTACTTATTATCTCTGCCTTAGAGCCGGGGTTGTTGGAAATTTTGGTATTTTTTATGACTTTTGTAGTTTATGCAGGTCATGGCGAGTTCACATGTCCTATAATATTCTTTCTTTGTTTCGATTTCAGCACGTGAGAACTGTAAGTTAATATATACGGATATACATTAAAACGTGAAATGTGAGGAACTGTGTTCGACTCTAGGAACTTCCACTTATGCTTTCGCACTTCAGTCGCCTTCGCCTTTGCCTTTTCTGCATGGAAGTTTCAGGTATGCTTAATAACTTAGATTATCTTAAACTGAAGTCATGCATGTGGATCAGCGAGTGAGATTAAACCTCAGCCTCGTGACGTCATTAAATGTGTACTGAAAAATCGAACGTCTCTGTCGAGTGGTTTGCACTGCTTTTCGTATTCGGGAGATCCCGGGTTCAAATCTCGGCACAGAGACCAGCTATCGTGACCGAGGTATTTCATGGTTTGCCTCAGTTCCTCCAGGAAAATGCCTGGATAGCACCTTAAATTAGGCCACGACCGTATCGTTCCACATCCTTTCCAATTCATTAATCATCTTATAATTCCATCCTATATAGTCTGGGCTACTGAAAGTCATTAAGCTACAAAATGAATAATTTAATTTAAATTAATATACCCGTATGTTAAAATGTTTGAGATCTTTAGCAACTCCGACCAAAACGCGTTGTTAAAATGGGGTTACATTTCATATAACAACGAGATGAAAGCTTCTTTGGTTATTTAATGACATTGTGTCAGCTGTTGAAGATGCATGGCGGAGAATGATGGATTGTTATGCACGGTGGGTCTGGTTGGAAGAAAGGGGTGTGGAGTGGCACTCTGAGGCCGTCCGTAGTTCAACGAAAATATGCAGGGTGTGGGGAGAGCTTGTTGGTATAACAGATTTTTTTGTACAATCGATCCTCTGGCAGAGATTGTTGAGATACATGTCAAGAGCTGCCTCTGTGCCTACCACCTCGTCTTAAAGATGTATGGTGACGTGACTGTAAAACTCAACGCATTCTTAATCTCGACACCAGATGGCGGGACCGGTCTGTTTTACGCTGATTTCTTCCTGGGGAAAAGGTTGAATGGGCCCCGGAAACATCGATGTGGAACGAGGAGAACAATTCTTAGTAGGATTTGAGGTTCTCACAGCGGTGAGCACGAAGATGACTGTCTTCTGGGTTGTAGCGCCACCATCGTCATGATCATGATGATGATGATGTTGGCAGCAACGACCTTTGAAATGTTTGTACCAGACTACACGGCGCTACAACCCAGAAGATAGCCATCTTACAACAATTCTTGGCGCTGTCGGAAGCCTAACCCCGGTTCAAATCTCGAACCGGGATACCTGACTGAGTTTTTTCGTTGTTTTCCTCAGTCTTTCCAGGAAAATGCACTGATAGTACCTAAACATTTCCGGCTACGGTGGCCGCGTGGCCTGCGGGTGGGCCTCTGTCGCTCGGATACTGAAGTGGATTCGAACTCCATGCAAGGCATGGATGATTGTCCTCGCCTTTTTGTGATGTACTGTCCTGTACAGGCATGGACCTTGTGACGGGCTTATCACTCTTCCAAGGATTAAGAAACCTCTCAAATGTGAGGAGGCCAAGGTACTTCAAGGCCTGTAGATCCACGTAGTAAGTTCCTTAAATTAGGCCGCGGCCACTTCCTTTCATATCGCCCCCAATTCATTATCCATTGATAATCCTATCCTTTTATACTGACAACATCGTTAAATAAATCACAAACCAATTCATCTTCTAGTGGCCAAATTGCCTGTGTACTTGATACAGCACAGCCTTCCTATGCTGCACTGTGCAGACAGCCCGTGTTTGAATCATACCACCTACAGGTAATATGTTTAGTACGGCACTCTGGGCATGCCACGTGTGTGCAGCAACACAGATGCGAGAATGTTCATGCCCTAGGCTAAATTCGGTTCCAGAAGAGCGAAAGTCCATTTTCCTGCTTCACTGGTATATGTTTTTATCAGAGGCTTTGCAGTGGGAAAATTGTTGGAGCGTTGTCAGCTTCGACTCTTTTTATTCGTGGCAGTTCACTGTAAAGTCAGGTATTAGCAGGGGTGCAAGCTTACTGGCACAGCGCAGTGATACAAAATAGCACATTTTAGGTGCTTTCATATTGAACATCTTCAGTTTTGCATGCCTAGATCTTATTGCCTGTTGAGGTTCAGAATTGATCCTGAAATTATGGCTCCTTAGATACAATTTGTTTTGCACTGTCGCCATATTTGTTATTGGCAGGTCTACGTATAGAAATGTTTCGATGTCATGTTCAGGCATCCTTATGAACTACTTTCACACAAGTTTCATATGACTAGCCCCTATGGCGCTCTCAAGCCATAAGCTAAAGGCAAAATATACGAGACTGGTCATGTTATTTTACGTTATACAAGTTTTCTTCAATAAAAGTTGTATATTTTTTGGCCTATAATCACACGAAATTTGAGAGTTCTAAGCTAGTGCTTTCCCACGTGGCAATGCCATCAACGTTTGGTACGAAAAGCTAACGAGAATAAACCACCTGGGAGACCTAGGCGTTATGAAGATACCCTAATATTAAATTAGTCTGAGGGTGTGAACTGGATTGATATGGTTTAGCATAGGGACCAGTGGCGGCTCCTGTTAACACGGTAATGCACTTTTGGATTCCATAAAAGGAGGAGGGGGTGGGGATTTGTGTAGCTGAGTGACTTTCGGCTTCTCTTCATGTAGTTAGTTAATTCTTCGTCTCCGTGGATAACAAACACGTCCTCTGTCCCACATTTCATTACATCGTATATTATTATGAGCGGTCCGTGATTAGCAGATGATAGAGCATCGTTAAATAATGCTCATTTTTCTAAATCACTGTTATGTTTATTTGAATGTTTTTGAAAATATGCAAATTGCTATAGCAACTTAGTAACTAACAGTGGGCTACTATTTATGCATTTTTTTTTTTTTGCACAAGTGCATGAAGTGAACGCATAATATGGAGGGCATGCCGCACGTTTCATCCCGAACCGAACCTGGTGATGCCGTCTGTCGCATGTTTCGACGTTGTTTTCTTGTGCTGTGTCGTATCGGCAGTGGCCGCGGGGCGTGAACGTCTTTCGGGCGCGTGGTCCGTATCATATTCGTCGGTCAGTGCTATACGTCGTTTTAATACCTGTTGAAGTGTTGTTATTACAAGACGTAACAATACCCGTGATGGCGAACCTGGTACGCGAAACGCCATGGATTTCAGCCCTAATGTGTAGTTGCTAGACCCCCTTTCGCTATGTTTAATTCCCACCAGGAGCAACAGACTTTCGTGTTGTAGCTACCGCATCCAGACCGATTCTGGGGCCACCCAACCTCATATCCAATGGATATTGGGGGTTCATCCAGGGGATAAGGCGGCCGTGGTGTGAAGCTGACCATTCAACTCCATCTAGACCCCAGCTTACGAAAAGTGTAGCTCTTAACTCCCCTATTCCCCTAGACGTCTTCATGGCGTTCTGCTTGATAAACACGAGTCTCGACTTTACCTTTTCCTTCACTGATAACTATTGTGAAGCTTTGGTGTCACGTGTGACGTCTGCCCCTGGGGATCATGAATTTTTTTATCTTCATATATTTTGCAGTATTCTTAAAAGGAAAAGGACGTCAAAAGAGAAACAATCGCGTAGTCAGTGGCACGCATAATCATAAATTCCAGTAAGCTTCGTTTTACAGGCTTGAAACCTTGAATTGTCAATGTAATGGCCTTTCTTTCAGTTTTTCTCGACCCGTGATATCCAATACAAATCACAGCCTGTCGTAAGCTAGGCTCTGGACGTCCATGACTCGACTCTAAATCCATCCTTGATGAATAAATAATTCATCGTCACCTACCACGAGCGTCATGCTCGTTATCAAAGAACACAGAAAGTCCGTATTATTTACCAGCTCAAAATATTTTTATCTTTCTGTCTCCTATCTAGAATCCAAGTATTTAAATAAAACCCTGTAATTTCACGTCTTGTTTTATACGGATGTAAAACTTTATGTCACTCTAAGGGAGTGACTGAGGACCGACGAGAGAGGAAGCAAATGGGCGGACTGTGAAGAAGGTTGAATGTATGAGCCGTGACGTCACATTCTAACTTTGATCATCTCCAATAAGTGGCCTTGGTTGACCAACTCTGTACAAATTAATATTCTACGCGAAGCTCCTACTGTACGTGCTCATGCGCCAAACGTAAAATTTGACTTCCTAATCAAAACTTTTCACACGGCATAATTAGGGTGTTAGATGTAGCTCGAACGGGATTATGAGAAATGAGTTGGAAGTTTTGGTCGAAAAACCTAAAGACCATTTGGGAGAGCTGGGAGTATATGGGAGGACAATATTTATGTGGATATCACAGAAAACGGATGTCAGGACGTGCACTGGATTCATCTGGCTCAGGGTAACTTTGTGAATGAACCTTGAACCCTCAGGTTTCACGAAGGGCGATACGAGGACTTTCTTAACTTGGGCTTTTGTTTTTTTTTTCTAAAAAAGGGCTTTGGTCCCTGGAGTTGGCGTTTATTTACTCTCCGGAGCTGAATTTTTCATGATTATGATATCAGGTATTTGTGTACGCTGGTCTGTATCATATATAGTATTCCTGTAATATGCCATTTTTTTGTAGAATAATGGATTTTTGTTGTATAAACGAGGTAAAAAAAAGTGGAAAGTGAACTTTTATACAGCATTCCCCCTCCCCATAGATTCTTATTAAAATTTAAACCGTTATTCCAGAGCGATGGCTGAAATAATTGAGTACAAACTGCTCTTTCGAGCGTTAGAGTTCACTTCACGAAGTGTCTTATCCAAATATTAAATTATATCAATTTACATATCGATTGCTCTGTTTTTTATGCCATTGCTTTCGCACTGTGTTGAATTTCGTTCAACGGAGGCAGTTTTGTCACCTTATAAACGTGATCTTCTTGTACAAATAGGAATTCTTCAGTCTGCGACATATATCACACGTAGCTGTGTGATTCTTCAGTCTTCTCACGTAACCAGCTCAGTGTTATATATTCCTTTTAGCTCCGTAACAGTTTAACCTCTTCATGAAAAATGTTCGTCAATTATCTTCCACGTGTATCACGCCTCAATAACGCGATTTATTACTGCATTCTGCGTGAGACAAGCCGTGTTACATCACTCAGAAGTCCATTATGTTTAATTAAATGAGTTTGAAAGGAATTAATGAGGTCTATACTTAATTTTATTTACCTATAATATGAAACTAAATATGATAAAAAAAACAACTCCATGGAATAAATTTTCCTTCAGAAGCTATGCTCAATATATGTTACGAACAAATTGAAGATACGCTTAAAATTCCAAAATTCTCCAAAAATGGAAGCTACATGATCATCCTAGAAATATTCGATATATATACACATATGAACGAAAGATACGTACGTCTATACAACAAATAAAAATAAAATATCGCAATGCTATCTATAGTTCATATTGCGTGCCAATATTTTGTACAATCCGCTTTGACAAAATAAATTAAACTGGATTTTAGCTTGTATGACGTTGTTTTCATTGAAACTTTCAGAATCAGAATTTTTTTGGCGACAGACAGATCCCCTGCATTAAACTTCATCCAACTTCGCCAAGTAGTTTCCGGTATGAAAATACGGTGGACAGATATTATTATTATTAGTTCATTTTATACACTGCAAAGATAGCTTAATAATACAAATTTAATCTAATATCACTTTTTTACGTTCCGTGCCGTATTTAGGGTACACACCAACCGCCAGCGAAATACATACCAGCGTCTGGAATCTTATTGAAGAGCTGCTACGTCAAACCGACTCCAGGGACCTCCAGACTACACAAGGTGCCAGCCAAAGTAAGTTTTCAAAGTTCTGTTATCTTAACAGGTAGAGCTCAGCGCATGACGCGTCTGATTACAAGCCTGAGGATCGAATATCAGGACGTATTTATCAATATCTTCTTTTACCTTACACTGTCTAAAAAGTACAGATTTTTAAGGAATGAAGACATTAGTTCACATTATTATTACTTCCGTGTGCTTAATACGAGTTAAGTCGAATGGATTACATTGCAGAAACGACTTAATGCTTGAAAAATCAGAGTTAATTAATCAATTATTTTCTTATTTGTAGCTTATTTAAGAGACGACCCACCAAAGTATTTGTTAATTTATGATCATAAATAATACCAATATGGCGACTGTGCGAATTTGTGAGCAGGAAGTTACACGTATTATAGGGTTATGAAATAATGAAGAAGAAAATATCTTCGGAAAATTAAGTAACTTTTTTGAAGCTTATAAAACAACAACATGGCGCCCTGCGAAAATATTCTTGTACATCGAATTTCTTCAACATCAACTAGTGATTTATTGGGGCTAGGAGTATAAATTTTGAATGGAGATATGTTATAAACATTAAAATAGTAACAATCTGTATCAATAACATATTTACGGTCGCAAGCAGTGAATACATTGCCCAAAGCGGAAGACGAACGTACGACCATCTCACGGGCAAGCACGCTGACTGAAAAAGTAAATTTTGTTCTATTGTTTTGTTTAATTGGTATACACGTATACTGTTCAAATATAACATCAATAATACAGGATTTTTCGGACTGGAAATGTGTATAACAGAACAACCCGAATTATGAATTCTGTTCGGGACCCCTTTTATTTTATTTTCGGTATTGTCTGTCCAGCCGATTCAACTCGAGAACCACTGGAAATTTGATGTGGTGGTTGTGCTTTTATGAACGACCTCATCAAAATCATACTTTTGAATTTTCTATGAACGGTAAAAATTAGATGACGGATGAGGAAAACCGTGAGGTGTTGCGATCTGGTGGCCAAAGTGAGAACTATCGAAAGAAAAAGCGGATTTGTTACATCTAAGTACACGTTACAAAAATGCATTAGAATATTATGTAAGTGTATTCCGATACGGACTACACTTTTCGTGCTTGTTATTAATGACCTCGGCTCTCCATACTTTATGTGAATTACTTTGTTAAACCTGCTTGTTCTGGTGGAGAAATTGCCGACGTGCTACTGCTTGCCACAACTAGAAAATGGCCGAAGGGAATGTCGCAAATAATTCCAACCAGACTCGTACACAAACCTTCTTCTATTCCGACCCTCATTTGGCTACCATGATAACCTGCTTGTACAGTTTAGTGCGGAATAGTGCATGTGGGGGTTGACCGCATGTTTTGTGAAAGAGTACAGCGTAGTCGTTCATGCCCGCCCACTCCCAGCGGACTGGTGTGTGGCGCGATATCAGTATCTGCGAATAGAACGTGGGTTGGCATTCCCCAGCCGCTCAGTCGCTGTAAGAGACGCACAACGGAAGAAGTAACTGATCCGATTTCTGAGAATTATGTTGTGAAATAATGACGTATGTTAAATCAGTTATTAGAAATGGAAGGTGCGTGTATTAAAGTAGATTGTCGAGGAAGAAGTTCATGGAAAGGGATTTTATCATCTGTGCGTCATTGCAGCACGGAACGCGACCTATGTGAGACGCGTCTGTGCTGTCGGCTACCTGATCCTAACGTATACGCTTAACGAGGAGCTTAATTTGTACAGCCCCATCAAATCAAGGAATATGAAATAGATGAAATGACGAGAAATGCATACAAAATTTTCAGGAAAACCGTGACGGAAGAGATCACTTGATGTGTATGGAAACATCGTTTTTAAATATATTAACATCTATGAGAGTGTGGATTGGATTCGTCTGGCTAAGGATAGGGGCCAGTGGCGTACTCTTGTGTACATGGTGGGCATAATGAACCTTCGCGTTCCATAAAAATCAGGGAATTTTCATTCCACGAACCTGAATTTAAATAGACTTATTACTGAAACGTGACAGAAACAAATTTGCAGACGTTTCGGCTCATTCCTGAAACGTATAAGACCACAGGAACAGCGATCGCTGGTCACGTAGCATATAGTGCGACGTCCCTTACCTTGGCTGTGTCGTCGTGGATCCACTCGATATCCGCAGGTGGATTTCCATCCACGTCACATGTTAACGTGATGGTCGTGCCCAGATCAGCCTGGATACTTCGAGGTCGAGTGCGAAATCTTGGACCATCTGCACAGACAGGAAACAATCATACATATTCATGGTTTGTGCAAGGCGCTGTAGTAGGCAGGTCTGTAATGACGTTTTGTTCTAATTAAGTTAACAGGACAGTAGTGGGCTGCGCACTGATGTGGGCGGGTGTATTTACAAAGGCATTATACGAACACAGAAATAGGTGGAACATGAAGCAGTGATCGGGAGATCAAAGCTGCCTTCAAGTTTCATACCGACACACGAAAGACTAAAATACACAAAACTTTAACTCAACTTCATGTTCTATATCGTATTTTAATATTAAGTCAGTCACAGAAGTTAAATTGGTTCCGACTTACCGCTCTAACTATGTGTAAATATACTGATTTCTCGCTCAGTCTGACTGCAGCTTTATCATTAAGAACACTCATGTCACCGAACATCCAACCTCTCGTTCCAGTCGTGGAAGACAAGAACATTATATTTCCCCCGAGGGCGATAACTTGGTGGGCCCTAAACCACCATGGTAGCCATGATGCGAAACGTCTACTAAAGGGGCTCTTGAGTCTGGTGGTGTTCCAGATTAGGAGCTTGTACCAGATTGGTAATCCACCCACGGAAAACTCGATCGCCAAGAGAACAACAGGACAGGAGTCACGGAGACGAGAAGAGCCCAAGTTATTGGACGTATGTCATTAAGGACCGATGGAAGAAAAAGTCTGGTGTCTTTTATCTTCATCAGCGTATTATTTAGCGAAGCAGAGTTATTCTCGAAGACTTCTGTCTTCTGCCTTGTTGCGCTGTGTAGTCTGGTCGATGTTTACCAACGTTTCAGAGGTCATACTGCCTCCGTCATCAGGGCGATGGTAAACATCGACCAGCCTACACAGCGCAACAACCCAGAAGACGGAAATCTTCATACTCACCGCTGTGAAAACCTCAGATCTTACAGAGTTATTCTCCCTCGTAATACTGGAGAGACATGTGAAAAACAGACAAAGAAAATGATAAATAGCCGAGGATGCCTGCATTGTAAATTCCTCATATTGGGAGTGCGACAAGTCGGGGCACATTCTCATATTATCGGCCCAACATGGAAACATTCGTGCAGTATTATAATCAGAGTAGTTTTACTGTAAAGATGTTGGCGATAGGTCCCCCCTCCCCAAACTCTGATAATCACATGGCGTTACAACCTAGAAGACCACAATTCACATTTCCAACGTTGCAAAAACCTCAAATATCACAAAGGGTTCGTTAGTTTGGTTCCTAGCTTTTTAACGATGCGTTCTGAATAGCGTTGATAAAATATGTACAGAAATGTCACTTACAGCTGATGTCCAGCGTTTCGGACTCCTCGCTCTTGCCCACCGGATTGTGCACCTCACACTTCACGATCGCGTCGTGGTACTTCCTCGTGATATTAGGGTTTTTTTTTAGTCTCCTGGCACCAGTTCGTCGTTGATGTACCATCGATACGTAAGGTCCAGTGGGTTGGCATCGGCTTTGCACGAGAGACGCACCTCGGCGCCTTCCGTCAATCGTCCTGAGGGCCCCAACCCGCTGACTATGCTCAAAGTTACTTTTGGCGCGTATTTGACTTCGAGCCTCAGTCGGGCGCTGCGGTACGTGCGATCCGCCGTATTCTGTGCCTGGCAGGTGAACGAGGTGTTGTGGTGTTCCTTCTTGGGCGTCAGCTTCAGGATGGACTTGGCCGTGAAGCGCCTTCCGTCAGGGAGAGCCTCTACGATGTATTCCAGACCGTCACCCAATACGTTGCCCAGTCCGTCTATCCATGTGATCTGCATCAGAGGAACAAGTTCGTTTCATATCACTGCAAGTCTGTGACTAGAAAATGCACCTCTTTTGATATTATTGCGCCATCGTCGTAAACCTTCAAAACTTCGATTACAAGGAATGCTACTTGTCTAGGCTTGTAAATACATTAAGACTTTCAGTTACGCTGGCTACACGAACTCCATGGGCACAGTCCTTCAGCATGCAAATAATTATCCACTTTTTATGAAACCCGAAGGTCTACCACCGTGCTCAAAAGAGCCCACCGCTGATTCCTATCCAAAGCCAGAAGAGTTCAGTCCACACGCTCCTTTCCCATTTATTTAAGGCCCATATTATTATCCACCAACCTACGCCTAGGTCTTACAAGTGTTCTCTTACCTTCAGGTTTTATAATTAAAGTTCTCTATGAATTTCTCATAACTTGCATCTCATGCACGCTACATGTCGTACTCATCTCACCCCCTTCATTTAATCATCCTAATAACAGTTGTTTCTGTCAAATTCTGTACGTGTCATTATATACAATTTCCTCCGCCTTTCTCTTATAACCTCTGTTAAAAACGTTACCACCTTCGCAACCTCTTCGGCAATATCATCATGAGCGGGGATACCTTACTTAGTATACCGACTTGGCTACGGGCTGGACAATCGGGGTTCGATTCCTGGCAGGAAACGTTTCTTCTCTTTTCCACCGCGTACAGATCGGTTCTGGGCCCACCCAGCGTCATATTCGATGGGCACACGAGTTCTTACTTTGGGGTCAAAATGGCCGGGGAGTGAAGCTAACTCATCCTCATCTAATGCCGAGGTTACGAATGCGTGGAGCTATACTTGCACTTCCTTATACGTCTCCGTATCACGGCGCTTAGTTAAGCGCCAAGGAACTTCTTACTAGCAGTTTCAATTTCAGAGTGGCAACAGAACTTTCGTATTTGTATTTATAATCAGACGGACATGAACATATCAGTGGTATAATGACGGATTATTATTTCGCCAGAGATAATCAGAATCAGTATTCACACGTTATAGCGCCTGTTTGCTTCACGCTTTACATTAATTGTATTAGTTCATCAGAAATACAAGCGCACTGTATGCCAACTATCATATAAGGTTTTAAGCATGGATTTGCAATAAAGAGAATGACGCAATTTAATTTATAAAGAGCGAGATGTGTTTCTATACGTGAATGCCACTCTTTTTTTCCTCGGTTTCCAAACCCAGTAAAGGAAACGGAAAGCTACCTCCATCAGTTTCCTTAGAGTTCAAGGAGACACGGTTCTTTATTGCGTCTTTTTTCCTTGCCTTGGCTGCAAAATAGGAGTCTTGCTCTAAATTGCAAATTGCGACTTTAAAAATGTGATTAAAATGGAAATAAATTGGCATAACACAGGCTTAAGACTTCTTCAATTAAACGCTCCTAAAACAATGCGTTCTAGAATTCTCTTTGCTTATATACTTGAAGCATTTCGTTTCGTTGTACCTGAAAACAATTGAGGTACGCAGACTGGTAAGGAAATGGACCTTTCACAATACCCAATGGTTTGCAAAGCGAAGACGAATTGATGCTGACAGTTCTGTCGATATATGCACATCTCTCGAATTTCTTTTATGTTCATTGGTTTCCATTCTCTGCCCACAAATGAAATCCTAAAAGTGTTCATGACAAGAGGGAATGTTTTCATGCGCAGACACAAACGATCAGCATTTCAAGAGTACTCGGAGCGGGCTGTACACCCACGCGTTTACTGAAAATTAATGAAACAGGCAATAAACAGCGAGGCAAGTCCGAAGTTATAACAGTAGGGACTCTGTTCTGAGCACTGGGTGAACACGTGGGTAAACTCGGTGAAATTTTTCGACTGTTATAAAACTAGCATTCAAGACTTTCCACGAAAGGGGAAAAAATTACTGGTTCAATTTTTTTTAGCACAGAAAGTTAATCGCTAACCTGAAGAAATATATCTGTGGGCCAACTTTACAAGGTGAAACTTCTATTACAGCTGCCAAATTTATGTTACTGGTGAAGCAAATTTTAAGTTTGTAATGCGTGTGATATTAGAGGAAATTGCATTGAGAAGTTTCTTAACTTGTACACTACTCCAGATATTATGAGGGTTATAATATCAGAGAGGTGAGATGGACGGGAAATAGAGAACACATAGGGGAGAGAAATGATACACAATTTTTAGTCGGGAAACCTGAAGGGAAGAGACCACTAAGGGAGACCTAGGATGTGATGGATCTAAACGAAACAGGCTTTCAGGATTGTTAGTGGATTCTTCTACTCCAGGATATGGCCCAGTCGCGGATCTTGTGAATGCACCAATGAGACGTCTAGTTTCGTAAAATTTGGGATATTCCTTGTCTGGCCAAGCGACTACTAGGTTCTGAGGTCTCTGCTCCATACACCTGTAGTCAGTAAATATTGAAAATAGTATTTACATTTAATATGATGTGCTGAATTTTCTGATTTTGTTTGGTCGATATAGCTCTGACTGTGTAACGTCGCATGATAGGATATTAATGAATAATGAATTAGAAAGGATATGGAAGGAAGCGGTTGTGACATAATTTAATACACTATCATAGCATTTTAGTGGAAGAACTGAGGGCAAAAACGAAGGATATCAGTGATTATAGCCGAAATTCGGGACGATGTTTGAACCTGGGATCTCCCGAACACGAAACAGTCGTGACGTTCGGTGGGAATACACGAGGATACGCGAGGTTGTTCCTCCATTCCTCCTAGTTTTTTGACGTAAATACGTCTATATTTTAGGGTCAGTGTCATTCCGCAAAAAAGTATGTCGAAAAAGTGTGACAAAAAGTGAAAGGAAAATGTGTAAGATGGTTACCTAGGAAACGTCATCTGTTTATCAACAAATAAACAACAATGGTTACCTAGGAAACGCTATCTGCTTATCAACAAATCGACAATAATGGTTACCTAAGAAACGTCTATTTACTCGGCATTTTTGTTACCTAGGAAACGTCATCTGTTTACTCGGGATTGTTGTTACCTATAAAACATTACATTACATTACTTTACATTACTCTCAGCTACCACAGACCCATCTTAAGCGTAACTAATTCAAGTTAAATAAGCAATATCTTAATCAAACTTATCTCAATTGTAAAGCATGTATAAAGGACATATTTAGAATAAAGCCAATATATAAACTTCCTTTCCGTATAGACGTATTTACGTCAAATTCTCCGGAACCGTGGTTCCACTGACAACTTTTTAACTGCGTGGTGCTTAGCACAGAGACATTTACCTCCACATTTTGTTTGAAGAAGACAGGGACCGCGGTTGCAGACAAAATCGGAACAAATAGACCTACAGAACCGCCAACGTACAATCAATGCCGCCCACTATAAACACAACAGTAAAGCTTTGTGACGTTAAAATATGGCAGAAAAGGATCGCATTTATCGTAAACCTGAATGGTCAAATGTGCCCTTGGGTGGCATTAAAAGTCTCGTTTACGCATATCGTCTGTCTGCTCTCTATGTTATTACAAGTGCGTCGTAAATCGAGGGCACAACAGGTAGATGGTAGGGCGATAGCGAAAGGCGATGCAATGATTTCTATCAGACAGTTACATGCATTTATAGTATAAAGAAATAATAACATATGTATCTTATAAAAATTGTAACCATTATTCGAGACTTCTTTCAGGTCAAAAATAGCACTTCGTTATTATGTGACCCTTCCTAGGTACCCACAGAACAGGAGTCTAGGTGGACCCCAAGCTCGGTCTCGACGTGGTGGCGAAGGGAAAAATATCTACTGAGATTTCAGGTTCCCACCGCGGCGAGTATGAATATGACATGTCTTCTGGGACGTTGCGCCGTGTAGTCTGGTAGTAGTTTACCGACGTTTCAGAGATGTTTGCTGCTTCCATCATCTGGGCGATGAGTAAGCCGCGCGCGGCTACACGGCGCGACATCTCTGAAGACAGCCGTCGTCAGAGGAATATTTGTTCACGTCGGAAATCGAGCCCAACCAATAGTCCTTCAATATACTGACTTACTTCGAATTCCAATTAGTAGAACTCGACCCTTTTAACAACCTGCATGCACAGAAAATTCACTTCTGTAAAACAAATGAGCTAAGCTCATCAGAAAATTTCCCATTCTCTCACCTCTTGCGTGAGAGCCTGCTTGTCTTGTTAAGTGGTTGTGATTTTATAAGCGCACCTAAGTACCCTGTCATGCACACGACGAGAATTGGCAGAGACAAGTAGGAATTAATTTGATCAGTAATTGGGGTCCCGCGAGATCGCCGCATTGCTTATCCCTTACAACCCAGCATACAGAATGTGGCGAGTGAAACGTTTAAAGAATTCTGATTAGCAACCTGGTCTGATGCGACATCTTTGCTGTCTCTAGAACAGGCGTGCGCAAACTACGGTCCAACAAAATTCAACTGGGCCCGCGTGGGTATTCAACCCTTGACCAAGTTTTACTTTCGGATGAGCTATAGGGTTCCAGAGAAATAAATGCAGTCAATTTAATAAATATAAATTAATATGTTTTCAAAAACTTCACGGTGTGATGGGTCAGAAGGGAGCGGTCGTGGCCTATTTGAATGAACTATCACGATACTCGTATGAAAGGGCAAGGGTATCAACGTGAGGTGTCAGGAAAACTTTTCTTCGTCTATGATTCAAATCGTATATCCCGAATACAAAGCAGGAATTACGTTCACTGCACAGCAGTATTGCCAGTTTGATAAGAAAGTAACTAAGTAATGACAAAAGCGGGATAAAATTATTACAGTTGGTCCGGAAATCTGTTCTTCGAAGCGAATGCATCCTCCAGTTTCCTAGTTGGTTATCTGTAACGACTTGTGAACAGAGATCATGTCGCTAGCAAGAGCGTTCTGTTTGAACGTCCTATCCCAACATTTATTCGCTTGAAGGCAGTCAGGCAAACACCGGCTATTCTATCCTTATTAGTTAGTTGACGTATTTCCCCACATCAAACCTGACAATTG